TTGGCCCCCTCTCCCCTCCTCTTTTGGCCCCCTCTCCCCTCCTCTGGGCCCAAAGAGTAAGTAATACAAGACTCTGCAGGATTTTAGGGGTCTAAATGAAAACTTTTAAGGTGAAGCCAGTGGAAACTCTTGCATTACGTTTTTAATGTTGCTTCTATAACAGCATCAGAGATATCCGTTTCGTTTGACTTATACGCTGTTGAAGTGATGCCATCCGACTGAATCAATGCTCCTGTATGCCAGCCTCTCAGAATAAACTCGAGGAGCTTCATTCCTCCACAGATAATACTGCCATCTGCTGGAACGAGGAAACCCTCAACACACAGGTTGTTTGCTCTGATTCATATTTTTCTAGACTGTCACAACAGCAAGTCTCACCGTTTCACATTTAGACGTGATAAATCCAGCTCGACAGCTCTGCATCTACAGAGGACAGTGATAAACGCAAGTCAGTGACCGCTGTCATGGCCAAGGCTGCCAGATCTTTGGTCTGACCCTGAGACGAATCAGAAGTCACTGAAAGCGCTTCAAAATGACAGTCTATGGCAGACTATTATAAACCTAAAAAAAAGAACACTTCTGTTTAATCCACCTGTATATTTACAATCTCAAGTGGTGATGGTTCACGGTCAGCCTTTTTAAAGCACGTGATGTAATGTGTTTTTCTCTACCTCATGAACATCTCGATCTCATTTCAGAAAAGAGCTGTGAGGTCACAGTGTTGTTCTGGCCCGCGGTTTGTGTTGTGGGCAGGATGTACCTGGTCTTGATCCGGTTGCCCACGTCCTGTTGCTCGCGGATGAGGACCGACAGCTGCTGTCCGAGTGACGTGTCTTTTCCTTGAGCCTGTTTAATGAATGGATGCTCCAGCAGATGCGTCACTGATGGACGTGTCTCAAAATCCTTTATCAAACACCTGCAGATAAGAGAAGGGATGATGGAGAAAAATCGAAGATAAGACGAACAGAAAGCAGAGAAGCATGCAATGTCACAGACGACACATAACAGCAGCAACTCCCCATATATGACAAGGGAGTTAAATTATCAATAAATAAAAATGTACAAAGTCAACAAGTAAAAGGTCTTGTATAATCATGTAAAGGCCTTCAGCGAGGTTAAACAAGTCACCTGTACATCGTCATATAGCTCCAGTGTCTGACACGATGACCAGAAGCTCGGTGAGGTCTAAACTGACCATCTGACCAGCCGTCTCTCTCTCTCTCTCTTTCTCTCTCATCACCATAGTATCCAATGTAAACAGTGTTATCATGTGTCTTCAGGCCTGTCTCTTTTGTTCTGGACTACGTGCATGCAAGTGTCCTCCTGCTCAGATACCATGCTTACCTGTTGATCATGTCTCATGACACCCTTTTCATATTTCTTTATGATCTCTCGAACAGCAGGTATTTCCTCTCACGATGCATTGTGCATTGTAGCTGTACCCATAATTGTAATGAATGGGCACTTTTAGTGTACATCAAATCTTAAAAGTATATTTAAAAAAAATGGATTTGCAGGTAATATCAAATTAATTAAGCAAAAGGCTGCTTAAGTGTACATAAAAAGAACACAATTTCATGACTGTTTCTTAACACACTTTTAAAAAGTGCACTTTGTAATAATGTCAAATGAAGTTTTGCTTTAATGTACACTTTAATGTATGATTAAATAATATTTTGTGTTGCTTTAAAGAAGTGCACATCTTTTGATGTGTTGGCTAGCATACTGTACTAAAGCACATGGAAACTACTTGCATTAGTATGGTATTTGTACTTGTACTTACAGTATTTATCTAGAATGTATTATTCGATATTACATTTAAAGTTAATATATTTCAAATGAACTAAACTTTAAAGTTTATTATTACAAATGTTAAATTACAAATATATTTAAATACATGACATACACGTTTGAAGGAAAATAACGTTAAAATATACTTAGTTTACCATAAATGCTTGTCAGTACACTTTTAAAATACAGTAACCATTTTTAAAATACAGTAGAATTCATTTTGAAATTACATAAAGATGTACTTAAGTCCTACTTAAGTGGGTCTGAAACCACTCTAAATTTCAACTAATTGCATTTAATTTAATTGTAAACTCTAATACATTTCATTTAATTACAATAAATATGCGATCAACTATCAAAACAACGTTTTTTTAATTGAGCGGTAACTCTACAATAATGTTCCATTTGTTAACATTCGTTAACTACATTAGTACACAAGTAACAATTAAAAATATTTGTACATTTGTAAAGCATTTATTAATCTCAGTTAATATTAATTTCAACATTTGCCAATACATTATTAAAATTCAAAGTTGTGTCTGTTTATATTGCTTAATGGATGCTGACTAACAATGAACAGTTGAACATATTAATTAATGTTAACAAAGATAAGCACATACTGTAACAAATTGCTCATTGTTAGTTAATGCAATAATTAACGTTAATTAATGGACCTTATTGTAAAGTGTTACCATTTGCGCAACAAGTACTCTTTTTATATGCTAAAATGTACTTTTTCCACAAGGGTAGTCATTAGCTGGACTGCATTTGGCAAAATGACTTTTCTTTTTCCCATTTTTCCTCATCTGTCCAGTCTGTATTTTTTTTCTTGTTTCCCTGTTTTCCAGAAAGTAAAGCACTAAGCACAGTGTCCGTCTAAATCTCAGTGGCCTGCTTTACTCTAGACTGAAACCACGGCTGTGCTGAGACCAGCCATAGAGCCCATTAAATGCTGTGAATAGGCGCAGGGGTCTGACATTAGTGCTCAGCATGGCTGAGGCTCTGAACAGCAGGCGGCTCTGATAGCAGAGTGGAGGCCATTCAGCTGCACAATTACACACGCATTCATAATGCAGGAAAAACAGCGTGCTGTTATAATACACACACAGGCAGAGAACAAACAGCCGGCACCTCGCGATAACGTTGTGTTCCTGTATACTTATAAAAACCCTCATCTGGGCTGGAGTTGATTTATTGTGCCAAACACAAATACTGAGAGATGCATTGTAATTTTTTCCTGCAAGTATATGTGTTTTTTTCCAAGCTTTACTTATTTAATGATCACATCATAATTAGACAAACAGATTTATGCAGACGAATGTTGTTGTTTTTTTATAGTGACACTGGAGCGTATAGGTTGTGGACAGCAAAGCATCTTCAGCTTTATTTTTTTATAATAAATATCTAGTTCAGTCATGAAACTCTAGATCCCCCCCACCAAAAGTTGTCTGATAATTATAAATTGATATTATATGCAACCCATGGCTGTAATTAAACATGAAGCATAATTAAACTTAAATAAAAACTAAAATTACATAAAAAGTAATTTACTAATTTAACTCATTAGAATTTTTCAAATAAAATTTATTTTTTAAGTTGTATTTTATGTTAAACTATTTTATTAATAGTATAATACATTTCCTAATTTTGTAGGATATTTTGTAGTTATCATATATTTGTGTTTCTGGTACAGTTTTGCCATTTCTTATTATATTACAATAGAAAATAGTACAAGAGTACTTTAACATAAAATACTTGAAAAAAATTGACATTGCATTATGAAAAATTCAAAGGGTATATTGAAGTAACTTTTCCACGACATTCTAATTTATTGAGATGCACCTGTATATATATATATATATATATATAAAACTCTATGCTGCATCCTCTAGAGGGCGCTAAGGGGGACGCCTTCGGCATGACCGGTGTCTGAAGCATGAGTCTAAACACGACAATGAACTTGACATTGGCAGGCGGCAGCCCATGATGTCATAACTGGTGTGGCTGAAAGTATAAAAGGGCACCTGTTAATTACATCATTCACTTTCTTGTCTTCAGGAGATCTGTTTGATCATGAGTTAGGAGCAAGCACGTTTTAGCTCCTGAGGGAACAGAATGCGTGCATTGAAAGTTTTTTTCTCAATGAAGCTCCGTTTGCGATGTCCCTATTTTCAAGGGATGTGGGACGCGCTTGTGCATGGAATGTTTAGAGCGAATTTTTCGCGATGCGTTCACCTCTTATCTACCACTCACTCGGGGTTTGGAAGCCCACGCTGCGGTCTCTTCCCCCTCCGAGTGAGAGCTCACTGCTGCTATCTTCATCCGAGGAGGTTGATATTGTTAGCGTTAATATTGATTTTTAGATCACTTGTTTTCTCTCGCTACATCATGTGTGGGGATACACGCGATTTATGAGTGGTTTGTTTGGGAGCGGAGCGCGCACAGTCAGCTCTCGTGGGAGTTGTGTTCATTCATAAAATGCAATGCGTTTTTCTTCTTGCGGGTAGAAGCTCTTATGCAATATAGAATCGAGTAGCTCGAACCTCGCATTGCCGCGGCAACGTGTGCATTATGGGTCTGCTACAAAATTAATGCGTTGTGTAGCATCTGCGTAGAATCATCCATGATCTTTGGGGTTTTATGGCTTAAGAGACCCTTTTAGCCTTTGACATTTGCATATAAATTACAGTCCTGGTCACAGACTTTACAGTTATATGGGGGCTAAATTGCCAAATGGTTCCTCGCTATTAAGGAGATTCTAAGCAGTCCCCCACTATCATCTCCCCATCTGATTTCAAACACTTTCCAAAGAGATGTAAATGCCCCCGATGCCAGGCACCGATGGGCCTGGCTGACCAAGCAAACTAACACACACACACACACACGCACACACACACACACACACACACACGTAAAGACCTTTACTCTATTTAGACAATAATTGAGCAGTTACAAATATATCTGGTATATTGCATGTGTTGTTTGTACGTTTCCCTATTAGATTAGCTGAGTTACCACTCGTTATTTGTATTAGTTAAAGCCATAAACAATGATATTCAGGTGTATGGATGTATCTTTGGTTTAATCTATTCTAAATGTTTCTTTCTTGGTATCAATATTATCTTTTCTTTATTCCTCAAACAATGATGTACATTATGAGATTGTGAAATGCATCATACGATTTGTACTATATTTTGGGTTAAAACTGCACCAATTCCAGACTGGCCATAAAACATGCAAATGGTCCATAAAGCGAGACAAAGGAAACTTCTCCCGCTCAAAAATTCACGCCTGGTATTGGCTAGCCTACCCAAAGTCGGGGGTAAAGAGGAACCATCAAAATTGATTAGCCCAAAATGATTTTTGCTCAGAAAACCCTCTTCTTTTGAGACAACACTTTCCAAGACTCTCAAGACTTCTTGAGATTCTCTTGAGTTTGTTTTCCGGCAGTTTTTTATCTTCAAGTAACTTCGATTCGCTGTGGACTTTTCCTATCTTCAGAAGAACCAGAAGTAAACTTCCAGCTCACTCCTAACGAACTCATCAAAGACCTCCATCGTCTACCGCATCAGGACTCTCGTTCAGCAATCGAAGCCAATGCAAGTAACCGTTTACAATTATTTAGATGCGTGTTTAAGCTTGAGCCCCTTTAAGGTGATTTTTGATTCTCTGAGGATTCTCAATAGGTTGTGTTTAAGGTTGATGTGAAATACTGCCATTCTTTTACTTTCCTCTCTCTTTTCCTTACTTTGTTTCATTCTGTATATATGTGTTTTGCTTGGTTAGTTATATGTTAGATATAGTTTCATTTATTAAATCCCTTATATTCCCGATCGATTGCCTCTGTTGCTGCTCACAATTCGAAGTCAATGAATGTTTTGAACCCTTGCTACATATGCTAAATTACTGCTAGCACTGCATAAAGAAGGACAGTTATGCTTCCTTGGCCAGGAAAATAATCGTTCCTTGAACTGATAAATGATTATATCGTCTGCTCGGTGGACGGACAGATCAAATAATTGTAATATTGATTCTGCAACAGTTAATTCGAAGATATAATCAAAATATTTATTATTAATCATAACCAGTTATAATTAGTCATAAATATTTCCCTGTTGAGCTGAT